GTATATAGACATTTTGTTTGCATTCAAATTAAGGATTATTTTTTCTTTTTTTTATTATCTCTTAACATTCAATTTTAATACATTTCAAATAAATTGTGGATTTTGATAATTATGATAGTCTTATCAATGTAATTAAATAAGAACTTATCCTTTCACTCATTATAAACATTTTTATATTTTTTTAAAAAATATTAACTTGAAGATTTGACCCAATGTTATCAATATAAAAAATTTATCAAAAACGTTAATAAGCTGATATTCAGGTTATCGATTATGTAACCTATTGATCGCGTCAGATAGCGGAAAAAAGAAATATTTGCATCCTTTTTTGACAAAATTAATAAAATAAAATTAACCTTCTTATATTATTACAGACAACTATGAGTTGTCCTTATAACGTAATAAGAATTTTTATATGTTTTATGGGTATACAACTGTAAAGTCATTATTAACGATAAATATATAAATGACATTCTCAAGAAATTAAAAAGGCACGATTATGGACTAAAAATTCAGAGTATAGTAAAATGTAATGAGTGTATTAAATTCAATCAAGAATTCAGTACATTTATGGCTTTCCGGATACATGTAGGCATACTCGTTCTTTAGTTAACGATTGCACAAATATTGGAAATCTTGATTCAAGAGATAAGGATTTACTTCTAAATACAAGATATAATGTAGACACCTCTTTAATAATGTAATAATCTAATGTATGCTCATCTAGAAGTTCCAGTTAATAACTGGTTAATTGAGTTAAATTCATCTGTTAAATAATCTTTAACCCGTTTTAACCAGTTCCAACCTCTATGTTCATCTATACTTGTTGTTTATTATAAAAAAGGCGCGATTGATCCAGAGAAGTTCCTTCTGTATCTTGAATCATTTCTTTAATAAATCCAACAGTGTAGCTCAAAAGTATAAAAAATGTTTGTTGCCAAATTATACATATAAGAAATTTTGCATATCTTGCATAAAAAATCATATTTAAACTGTCCTGTCCGTCAAATTTTAAAGTTTATTTATTGTAAAATTTTATTTTCACGCCCTTAGATTACGAAAAACTTTTCATACAGAAGAATTAATTAATGCTATCTTTATAATAATCTCGCATGGTTTTAAACATTAAGGAAGGAGGTTGATTTTAAACAATATAAAAAATGAAAGCTACAAGAACAATTGTAATGTTTTAACAAAATGCTAGTATACTAAATAATTTAAAAGATTTGTTTGCTTAAATCTTATTGGATAGAAGGGCATTCATTAATATTCCTCCTTCAAAATTTGAAACACTTCATAATCGTTTATTGAAAAGCCTTCTCTTATGAAACTCTTTTCATAAATTACTTGCTTATAACAGTTGCAATCATAACTTCCGTTTTACCAAAAGATGGACCATAATTACTGTTGGTTAAATAATGCCCGCACATGGTTACTCACGAGTTTAAAATTGAATCCTTAAAATTATTTCTCTTCTTAAAGGTAAATATAAAACAATCCTTGGATTGTTCTTCTTCACTTTCTACACTGTATGATTATATCCTCTAATAATTTCTTCTGTGTGAATAGATTAATGAATGTAACGGTATGATGTATAAAATCACATAATTCATGAAACTTTGTAGGAGTAAACCCATCTCTGCTACCTCTTAATAATAATTTAAATTTATATGGAATAAGCAAATATGCTATTTGTTTCTACCTTATCACTTCATCTTGAAGTTATGGAGACAATATTTAAACTAATAATTGCCATAACAATTATTCCATCAACTTTTCTACAGCTGGGTAATAAAATATCATCATTTGGCACACAGTCAGAATCCAAATAAGAATGTAACGAAATTTCATTAAGTTGATGTTTTCAAAAGACTTTTATACGGATGAACTTTTTGATGAACTCGTCAGAAGATAAACTAAAAAAAAAATCTAATGGAGTTAGGCAATGTTGTAAGGTACTGTATTTTCCATCATTTTGAAAATTCATCCGTCAAAGTTGAAAGATGTGAAATAAGCGTAGGATTTTTTTTCAAGACTCCATTTTAATTAATTGTTTCCAAACTTCAATTTCTTTCATTTGTACGGTAAAAGAATGAATTTTCAGGAAGCGATGTAAATTAAAGTGAATGAAATATTTTTTAGCCATAAAACATTTGAAGACTTAACAAAGAATTAAGTCTTTAATTATAAATAAAATTCATTGAAATTGTAATTTTTTGCGAGAAATAATTTTCGAACCCTAAATAAAAGCGCCTCGGGTGATCGGCAATGAAATACTGTAATTAATTGAACTGTTTTTTCGTCTGAAGTTGGAATTCAGACGATCTTCGAGTGTCTGAAATTGAGATTCCAATTTCAGAATCCTTTTGTTATCTGAATTCCAACTTCAGACAACTTATAAAAAATTATTTTAACCAATCACAATATGCCAATTTTTATTTTTTTACAATTTCGTAAATATAGTTTACTTTAAAATTTTACATTTTTTCTTTTCTTTTATTATTTATCGTTTTATTTTTATTATTTTTTTTTTTTTAGGATTTTTGTTCACATTCGGGCTGCTGCTTAATGTAGGTTTTTCTTTTTCTTTCTTTTTCTTTCTTTTTTACTTTCTATTTTCATTTTCATTTTTTAATTTCGATTTTATTTTTATTCAGTTTTTGGTAAATATGCAAGTTCGTTCTTTTTTTTGAAGTATATTTTTTATTTTTTTTTTTTAGTTTTATTTTATTTCTATTTTATTTTCATGCAGGTTTTTTGACCGCATCGGGTGCTGCGTCAGTTAAATAAGTGATTTTATTCATTTTCGTTTTCCTTTATATTTCAGGTTTTTTTTTTTATTAAAACTTCAAACAGAAGTGATCCGAAGAACATGTTAAAAATATTCACTTTTTTATTCTTTTTAATACTTTTAAGATAGTAAATAGAAAAGAACTCCTACCTTTACGAGTTACTTGTATAATGATTTATTTTGAAGCTAAGAGGCAAATTTTAAAATAAAATTACTTAACTTTTATAAATATTTTAAATTTGATTATAGAGAAAAGGATCGTTAATTTTTTTTTATTATAATAGAGTAGTAAAGAAAAATAAATAAAAGAAAAGAAATAGTTAAAAATTCATAAAAATTTTTTTAATTAAAAAAAATTGCTTATTTACAGTAAATGTAAATAATAGATTCTTCATATTACTTTAACTTAATTTATAAATGCATAATTAGTATAAAATTCAGATTTATCTAAAGTTCAATTTCAGATATCTCAATTCAGAAGGCCTTGTGTCTGAAATTCAAATTTTATTTGAAGTTCAATTTCAGATATCCTAATTACAGACGGCCTCGTATCTGAAATTCAGGTTCTATTAATTTCAGATAACCCAATTTCAGACAGCCCTCGTGTCTGAAATTAAAATTTAACCGACATTAAAGAGTTACACAAAAATTGGCCAATAAGATCATGACTGAAATTGGAATTCAGATAACAAAAAAGGGTATCTGATATTGGAATTCCAATTTCAGTTAACTGATCTTTGAATCTCAATTTCAGATACTCGAATTCCAATTTCAGACGAAAATCAATTTCAGTCACAACAGAACGACCAAACGTTTTTTTCCGCTATTATAAAAATAAATAAAATGAGTTCAATATATATATATTATTTAAAGTTCTGCTCGAATTTATTCATCTTGCGAAACGTTTTAGAATTTACTCATACGTCACGGTAATGCCGATTCCATGATTATCAAAGTAGAAATGATAAAGTTTTTTTTATTTAAAAAATTAAAAAGGGAATTACCATTCTCTTCATTATTAATGCAAGATAAGCTTTTCACTTCATAGAAAATTAAAGCATACAATTTATATTTTAACGCTATAATGAAACATAATTTGTATAATAGCCCACAAGTTCATCTATGTATAAAAAAAAAAATTCAAAAAATTATTCGGTGTAACCGAATGTTTGACGTACCACTCGGGTATACTGTATAGAGATAATCTCGTCAAGCCATACCGATTTGGAATAAATCAATCCTTAAACCGGTATTATTAATTCCCAATATATATATAACTTCAAAACCCAAACTTTATAATTTTCCCACATTTTTCTTTTAAAATAAAAATAAATTGAAATGGATAAAGATAAATTTTTACCAAAGTTAACCCAAAACTTTCTAGAAATTTTAGATAACGATGAATATTATGATACTATTGAAATTGGTAATGACCCTCATGTGAAAATATTTCGAGCTCATATGAACATTTTATATTATCGCTCCCCTTATTTTCGAAGAGTATTGTCAAATAATCAAAGGAAGAATGATAAAACTTTGATGCATGTTAAATTGCCAAACCTTTCACCTGAAAATTTCAAATTATTTTAAGGTAAATTGTAATAAAGTTATTATTTGATGTTACTCTTATTTAAAAATATCACAAATTTAAATTTTCTACCTCTAGATACATTTACGGCGGAAGGCTTTCTTTGAAAGGTTTTTATGCTTCGGAAATAGTTAAAACCTTGGTTATCACCAATGAATTAGGTTTTCAGGAGTTAATCCCCTATATACAATCTATTTTGATTGAAAATAAGGAAAATTTGGTCGGATGAAAATTTACATCTGATTTATCAAACAAGTTTAGAAAATGATCCTTACCTTGAACTTCGAGCAGTTTGCATAGAATTCATTTCAAAGAACCGGAGACGTACTTTGAATCAACATATTTTATTTTAGTTCCAAAAAAGTTTTTATCTCATTATTTCAAAACGATAACCTCAATATGAGTGCATCTAAAGTTTGGGAATATTACTTAAGTGGGGTCTTGCTCAGAATCCAAATCTTTCCTCAGATCCTTCTAGTTATTCACCAGATGATTTCAATAGCTTAAAAGCTACTTTAAACGAATGTATCCTTTGATTAAATTCCTTAGATTAACTTCCAGAAAATTTTGAAAAACGTTTATCCATATAAGAAAATAATTCCCGAAGAATTATTTGTTAACATGATTGTATCTTTGTTAAGTAATGACAGTGAATCAGATATCGATGAATCAAATATTGAATCTAGAAATATTATTATCGATTCAAGTATTTTTACTTTCAACATGCAGAAATCTTCACAAAATGGATTGAAAAATTAGAAATCACAGACGAGATTACTACTTCATATGAATTCAAATTATTATCTCGTTTTCAAGGTGATGATATTATAAGACCCTTACGTGAAATTACGACTATAACGGTTATTAAAGTGAAAGGAACTAAGGAAATTCTTGGAGGGTGGGTATAGTACAATCGCAAGTACAATCAATGTATTACTTCACTATAGAAAAACTATATATAGTTTTATATTCTCATAAGTATAATGATATAAATGATCATATTTTAAGCCGTGTAAAGAATGAAGAATATGCTAAATGTTAATGACTTGGAGACCTTACAATAGGCTCTTTATATGGTAGATGTGAAATGTAAAACCGATCAGAGAAACTGTAGATGGATTTGAAATAGAGATTTGTGAAATATTCTTGATCACAAAAAATTAATGCGGAAGAATAATTTAAAAAGAATCTTTATTATGGGAATTTCACAAAAGTTTATTCCTATAGAAGGTATAATAAAATAAAAAAAAAGTATGCGTCAAATAATCTCCATAAAAGTCTTTATGTAATACAATTTTAATGTAAAGCCAGAAATCAAACACTTGTGAGTCCGGATCTCAAAATTGCATTTTATTTCATTTAATTTTAGTTTATTCTATTGTAGGATGGTATAGTTTGTTAATTGATAGTCGAATCGGTTTCTGTAAATATTGACGGGATTGGGTCAAACTCGACCCTTATGGAGCACTACTTGATTGTAGCTTATCAAAAAAAAAAAATTTATATACGGTATTATGTAATAGACAAAATTTATTCGGAATAAATATATATAAATTAATCCAAAAACGACAATTATACACAACTCATATGACAAGACAAAAAGAGCAAAATAAATGCGGTAAATAAAAATTACTTACACATTTACCACAAGTGCTTTGCGATGGTGGTAAATACAAGGAGGAGCGTTTAGAAAGCGAGAAGCGAACCCGCTTATGAACGCTTTTTAATTGTTGTTTGTATGGGAGCGTCGGAAAGTGACGCGCGATCCAAATTTTATATTTAAACATAAAGAATAGAAAATTTCGAGCTATATACATATTAGTATTTACTTTAATAATTTTTCTAAATTTTATATAATTTTAAAGCCAGTTAGGGTTTATCTTGTGGAAAATTTTAAATGCATAAACCAAATGAAATGTACAATAGCTTTGTTCTATATGGTTTAGATACAAAAAAAAATTTCATTACAAATAAAGATGGTATAAATTTATATTTCATTTAATAATTGTTTCTAAATTTTCCATAATTTTGCAACTAATTAGTCATATTTTTTTAAAAATAATGTTTTAACTTTGGGGACGTTTAAAATACAAAAACCATTTTAATTGTTGGATCCAGAAAATATTTTATAAATAATAAAAATACAAATAAATTAATAAAACAAATAATACAAATAAAAATTACAGTATTATTAAATAAAATATACATATATACTGTACATGCCGATTTGGCCGACTTCTTCGCTGGTTATTTGAGTGAGTGACATGTCATATATATATTGGCTCAGCAAGCAGCAAAATATTATTACCATATAAAATATATTTTTTTAAAAAACAATATACAGCAAATCTATATAATCTAATAAAATAAAAAAAAGAATATTAAACGTTAATATGACAAATAAAGACCGAAATAAATAATCCGCTCATGATTTTATACCAGTACCTTTTCTTCCTATTGGTAATAATTCAAATATTTCTTTTTTTTTAAAAAGGAGGTTCTTATTTCCTTTATAATTTTTTAAGGATTTCTCTTTCAATCTGTTATTTATTTTTATTTATTTTTGATCAGTCATTGAATCTTCTACGTGTTGAAGTTTGATATTGTCAATGAGATTAACTATTCCACAAATTCACTTGCTCATGAACTTCAGAAGAAATTACGGAATCGAATTTTACATTGCGAACGCGAAAAAATGATTATGAAATATTAGAGATTTTGATCATCATATGGGGGCTAAGCTATTAAAATCACCTTACGGGATAAGAAATTGATTTTGAGTAAATAATGATTAAAAAAAATG